AAACTATTTTATTTAGATATAATCTAATTTATATTAATAATAAATTTAAACTTGAAAAGTATTTAATACATTTAATTCATTGAAGTTAATATAATCTACAATGGGTTTGAAAAAATTTCATTTTCTCAGCTTTTTGATAAAAAAATCTTGAATATTTTTTCTGAAGTATGTAGTTTTGTACATGTTCTATGTTTGAAAGTCTATTCTGGTTGTAAAATAAATAGTTTTTAATGTTGAAGAAGACCTAAATGTTGTTTTTACAGTAGGTGACAGGAGAGTTAAAAATATAATACTATAGCTTCTACAATAAAATTCCGAAGTAAATTATTTCGATATTGTTGTTCAATACTTCAATATAAAAGGTATTGTTTCATGTACAGTGCACACTTTCTGTTTCGGTTTTAGTTATAGGTTATATTAAGTATCTATAAATTGTCTTCAGTGATAACATTCAGCTTACAAAAAGTTGTTCCTAAAAAATCTAGAAATCTAAAAAATAAAATGCACAATTTTTTATAGGCATTTAAAGCTTATAGTTTATGTAGACGATATTTTATATATAAATGAAAAATAATGATTTTCAATTATGTTACTTAGTGAAATTCAAAAAATACCAATCTTAGAGACTTGGAGTTTTTCGTCATTATGTATGAATAGTATACTCATTATATTTTACTCTACATTTTACAATTTTCAAAATATTTAGTTTCATTTTTATCTAATTATTATTTATTGTACCATGATCCTATTCACATTATTCTAGTGACCACAGATGTATTGGTATTGACTTATAAGTTATAAGTTACAATACTTATAAGTATATGAAATAATATTATAATAATGAATATATAGTTGGTATAATAATATGTATTATGTGATTTGTTATTGGAAAAAATAAGTTCAGCCTGCCGGAATTATGTATGGGAAAATATACTACTAGGGAAATCCCTTATATTTATACAAAAGAACTGGCCTTTTTTAGGCCAAGTTTGTGACGACATTATTTAACTGTTTTCCAATTTTTTTTTACCGAGTTCTTCCAAATATTCACCTGACAATCACCACTTGGCCCGATTTTTCATTTTTTTTGTCTGAGGGGAGGAAGAGGAGGATGTTTTTAAAGGTTACGGTTTTTGGCGTGCCATTTAAATAGTTTAACTATTTTTTTCCTAATTTTGTACCAAATGAGCCTTGGGGTGATCTTTTATTTGCAATTTCATTTTATATTTATTCGTCATTTTAGTTATAACCGTTTATGCACTATGTGTAAGTATAATCTGGTCGAAATTATTAATTACAAATTAATATAATTGTTTTAGTATTATTAGAGTTGTAAGGAAAACACCGATCACTTAATCTTTATACCACGACCAGCTTAATTAAACCTGTTAAAAATAAAAAAACACGTTATTTTCGTTTCTTAAAAATCCCAAAATTTCTTCTAAATCATCGATCTATAATCATTAAAAACGCCGAGTACAATGACACATAAGATACACCGGTATAAATTGCGTTATCGAAATATAATAAAACTAAAGGGGCCGGTCATCGTGGTTTGCAAAAAACAAAAATATTTTTACCCAAAATACCATTTTTCCCCAACGATTTTTCGGTTCAGTTCAGTTCAGAAGAATTGAGTTTCTAATAAAAGTTTGTTAATAAACAAAGTGTAAGGTCACTGGTCAGACTTTAACTTATTATTGAGTAGACTTGGAAAATAACGGTTTCTCACATGGACAGTTATATGTAGAATGTACTAGAATTAGAAGACCTGACCACTTATACATTTATGCAAGAAATAAGAATGTTTCTATACCAAGTGGTTTTGACTTAAGTTATTTTAAATATTCATAAATAAAGTTTAATTATACAAATTATAATTATAATTATAGAATCATTAGAATCGTTTTTAAATATCATTATTATTATTTTTTATTTGTGATTCAGCTATTACTACTATTTAGCACTTGATTAATTATAAATATTGACTATACATTTTTTCTTCAACTATGTGTGTTGATTTGAGAATTTCATTTAGAGAAAGTAAAACTGCACACGGGCGAAGCCGGATAATTCATCTAGTATAATATATTATAGTAAAATAGTCTAAGAATTACAGGATGAAATACCTTTTTCACTGAGAATCGTTTTTCGTTATGGTTGAATGATTTAAACATTGAATTATATGTAGGTTTAGTGAAATTAGTGACCTGCAGTGACTTAACGACGAGACACACTCTACGCCTACTTTTCAGCATACTGACTTATCCGGTTTTTACTCAAATTTTAGGATTTTTTATTTTTTTAAAACATAATTTTAATAGACATTAGTTCAGTATTAAAGCCTGTATTAAAAAAATGTATTTTCTAAACAGCACGAGATCAGAGACTGAAGTCTATGGGCCTATGGCCTATCGTTCTTCGATCAGCTCAACCTGAGAGTGTGCGTATTATTATTCGTTTAAATATGCAGAATGTAAATAAACCTTCAAGTAAATCATTGGGTTTGAAAAAACATATTTTAAGTGGAGTTTGCAGGTTGAAAATAAGATATATAGTATTATTAATAAGCAGCGAAATGTGTGCGACTATTGTTTATACATTTTAATTTTACGAGATTTTCATTAAAATTTTATGGAGGATTGGAAAGTTTTCCTACTAAAATGGTAAATTATTGTCTGTGTACAATTTTCCATCCGTCTATTAACATTATTATATATTATATATGACATTTAATATAACATTGGTACATATTATCACATAATATTTACTTATTCACATATTAAGTTGATACCTACTCCCCGTAAGCGAAGCTTGTGGCGGAAGTAGGGAGCCTTTTACAAAAAGAATCTTAATAGTATATATAAAGTACTGTTGAACAGCATCATACAATTAATTTTTATAAACATAATTAAACATAATAACTTATTGGTAATATATATAATATTATAAAATTTACTGCTATAGTGCTGTGACATAGTTAATAGTAAACACAATAACTTATTATTAATATCTATAACAAAAGAGATATTTTTATATTATTATATTAAAATGCCAGTGACTCGTTTTTCGAACGAGTTCGCTGTATAATATTGAGTGTCTGACTGTAAAATTAGATTTAAAAACCAAGTTGGAAAACCAAAATTAGATCTAATATTAATACTATATTTGAAAATAAAGATACACTTTATACAAACTGAATCAACGAATATATGGCTACTTAAGCATTATTTTGTAATTCAAATACCTACTTTAAGACGTATGTATTACTTATTTCTTGTAAAAAAATAAATACAAAAATGTTATTAACACAAAAATCAAGGTTATTGAATTTAGTATTAAGCAATTTTTGTACTTACAAAACCTAGAAGAATATGATGCTAATAAAGGTTTTATAATAACTATGTTTCTGAAGAAACTTAAAATAACTAATAAAATAATTTTTAGATTTAGTATGAATAATTTTTTTTTTAAATTGTGATTTTTACCTTTTTTAATTTTACCTAAACCCAGATCTACGAAAAAAGAAAAAAAAACTCCTGCCGGTTTTATGTATTTCTTCAATGATTATATAATATTATATTGTTCAGTATACATATATCCTAGCTAAGTCAATTTCCCAAACAGGTTTTTTGACAACATGCAAGTATATAATAGTCCTTGACCCTTGTAAACCAAAAACAAAATATAAAGTACAATTTTAGCTGATAATATTTCAGGCGAGTCTATAGTTTGGCTTTTTAAGAATCTTAGTTGACTCAAAATGTGTTTTCTGAAAAAACCTCACTACGGTTTAAGCTCATCGTTAAATTAGATATAATAAAGTTGCAATAATTTTAAACATTTATACGAGGATATTCGGATTGGGTATCGCAAAATTGGAGGACATAACATATAGGCGAATCTAGGAAAAAAAGGCAATTAAAAAAAAGCAACGGAAAAATAGCAATGAAAAAAAAGCAAAAGGAAAAAAAGCAAAAGAAAAAAAACAAATGAAATAAAAGCACGAGGAACACAAGCAAATGAAAAAAGGCATAGGTACAAAAAAAAAATTAAATTTTAAAGTAAATGCCAAGTATAAAATTAAATGCATATTGGATTAATATTGCGTCAATATAAAACATAAATTTATCATAATATAATATATGAAGTAAATCTTGTGGTATGAGATATGGCTAATAAAAAATTTGGTAGACCACGTAGCTTATCTCTATACTCTTCACATATTTTTTTAAAATTGAATTGCATTTTTTCATACTTCTTAAGTTTTTTTTTTGGTTGCACAGTGCCCAATAACCGTTGCTGGAGTTTTGTCTCATCGGCTGCAACTTCCAGTGTCATTTTCTTAATGAGGTTCCAAATAGAAGGGAAAATTTATACCTATAATAATAATAATTGGTTTTCGCTTTTTTTCCCTTATGCTTTTTTTCCATTCGCTTTTTTTTCTTAACCCCGAATCAACGAATATATGGCTACTTAAGCATTATTTTGTAATTTAAATACCTACTTTAAGACGTATGTATTACTTATTTCTTATAAAAAATAAATACAAAAATGTTATTAACAAAAAAATTAAGGTTATTGAATTTAGTATTAAGCAATTTTTGTACCTACAAAACCTAGAAGAATATGACGCTAATAAAGGTTTTATAATAACTATGTTTCTGAAGAAACTTAAAATAACTAATAAAATAATTTTTAGATTTAGTATGAATAATTTTTTTTTTAAATTGTGATTTTTACCTTTTTTAATTTTACCTAAATCCAGATCTACGAAAAAAGAAAAAAAAACTCCTGCTGGTTTTATGTCTTTCTTCAATGATTATATAATATTATATTGTTCAATATACGTATATCCTAAGTCGATTTCCCAAACAGGTTTTTTGACAACATGCAAGTACATAATAGTCCTTGACCCTTGTAAACCAAAAATGAATAAAGTAAAATTTTGGCTGATAATATTTCAGGCGGGGATGTCGTAGATCGTTTTGTGAATTTGAATGGTATATAAAAACCAACCTAATCATAGAAAATATCAGTGAAGATCCGTATAGTCACTACGTTCACATTGTCTTGTCTCATTTGTTCTACTCTTCGAGTTCACTTTTATCCATCATCATGTACAAGTTATTGGTGAGTAACCTACCTGCATAATAATAAATAACAATTATAGGTAGTACTTACCGTTTTTAATTTCCTAGCTTCACTTTATGGTAGGTATCATAGTATAATTGATAATAATATACGTAGTAAATATTACATTTTATTTTAAATTTCGTCATTTATATCGATTAAATACTCTGAGATCTGGTACTTTATGCCTGCTAAAGTAATTTAATATCATATTATAAAAAAAATATCATTAAAAATATTTATAAATTTGAAAAGTTGAAAGAATACTAATGAATATAATTCAGAGCGGAGCAATGAATGGTTGATATATGTGGGTTTTATTTTTGTATTTGTCATCATCATCGTGAAAAATGCTTTGATTTTCTACTTCAGAATTTCCGATAGGAAAGTGAATTTAGTTGGTATTTTAGAGCATTAAAAGTAAATATTATGTACGTTTTATAATATACATAATATATATATTAATTTTGTAAAACATTTTTTACATATGAACTTGATTTCATAATCTAAGTTTAACATTTTTAATACGTTTTCAAATGTTCGAAAATGTTGGCAAATGCTAAGTACTAAGCAGATGAGCTATGCTATAGAATGTAGGAAAAACATTTTTCTTTTGGAAAAATCGTTTTACTCGAAATAAAATCAACTATCAGTTGTGTTCTATGTACGATATGTAATAGCTGTATACCATTATTAATAATTTATTATGTATTTATGTGTATATGAATATTATAGTATTTGTTTATTTCTATAATAGTTATTGATTGTTTCCGTCATCGCTTTGGTCGCCGCCACTTCTGCTCAAGTTTTCATCGATTCACATACACAAGCACCGTACTACACATACCCATCATATGGCTACTCTTACCCAGTGCCGTATAATCCATACATCACTCTCTTCCGTCAATAGAGACACTGACCAAATTCGTAAGTATATAGAGCGTTTTTCAAATAATTAGTAAAGTAATATTCACACAGGCACAGTTAAATACAATTTAAAGCTACGGGTTAGATGTTGTTTACAGATACGATTTTTATTTGTATAAACACATTTGCAGTTTCATCACAGACCACACTACATCACACATTTCTTTTTGTTAGTGTGTAATTAGCAAGTTCGGGCCCGCAATTACTGCACATTTAATTATTTGGTGCAAGTTTAAATTATTAGTCAGAAATAACTTGAAAGTCATATCGGCGCCTTCCAATATTAGTGATTACTATGTACTAATTATATTATATCCATATTATACACGGGAAGTTCTGACAATGGAATATTAAAAATTAAAATACCATAATAGTATAGCAAATTAAATTCTTAACAATCTTATTTAAAATTTGTTGAATGTTATTACATTTTTGAAACTCAAAAATTAAACTACGCATTTATATTTTCAGAAACACGCCATGAAGAAACAAGGCAGTTATTATCCAGTATTAGCTTATGAAGATATACGAGTGAAAATATATTTACCCAACACATATTTTTGTACAATTTATTTTTCTTCATAACGTTTTTTTCCGGCTTCTTGTAAAACATTAACTTATTCACAATAAAATATGATCATTTAGACTCGTAAACACGACCAATGTATATACATTATTATTTATTTCTTATAGTTATCACCAACACCATGTACCAATATATTTTATCGATCCTTGTAGAGCTGTTCACTTTTATTGGTTATACAGTGATCAAAGTACTGGTGTATTGTCTTTAAAGTTTAAATTGAAGTAAGACATCAAGTATTTTGATACATAAAAAACATGTATTCACTAAGTAAACAGTCATATAAATATGATATGATATCATGTTAATAATAGGTATGATCGTTATGGTTTTAGAGTAAGCTGTATACTATATAGCCTACAAAGCACATTGAAATTTACTGGCGTCCAGGCGTTGTGTAGCTCAAAAAAGTTTTTTGAAATATTTTTTCGTAACTATAATATTTTTATGGCTGCTGATGATCGTCTATAGTTCTACACTATAGAGATATTCTCAGTTATGAAATACCACAACATATAGGCTCAACCTATTATCATTGACTAATAAATAATACCTATATTACAATACTTGTGTCATCCTATTTCATATGAGGAAATAATATTCTGGTTACTTGTTTAGAAATGCATAGTCAGTCATTCTATATTATGTCATGTTCAGCTATATTCAATATTATTTTTAAAATTATGTTGAAAGTTCACAAATTGTTTATCATTGTTACTAAAAAAAAAAATTCATAAAATTACACAAATAGTAGAAATTCATCTTTAATTAAACACAAATTAATACTGTATCATACTATATTAAAGTCGCAGTTGCATTTAATGATAGTTTTGTGAACCAACATACTATATGAGGTCTAGATGATGATCAGATGATGAGATATTGAAAGGTCACCAAATATTATAATTTGATAGTCACTTAAATGCTTGACAACAATTTTATTATTATAAACTTTAAACCTATATACATCAAGACATCATGAACGTATAATATTAATAAATTATTTTATTGATGAACATACCTATACACAACGTCATAATCTGCTTCATACCAAAGGTGGAAGTTGGTATACGCTCATTCAGTGAGACGCTGTTGTGATGGACATTCGGAACGAGAAAAACCATGTTTACGACAACAGGTTGGCGAAACTTACATTCTAATATCAAATATTGGGTCCCGAAACCATACAATTTTGAGGTCGAAACGTAAACCAAATGTTCTTTGGGTTCTTTGTGTTGTTATTGTTTGTCGGAGCGATGGCGTTTGTCGTCAGTAAATTGTATTATTGGACGGACAATACGTCTATAACCATATGGTATTTTCGGTCGACAATAAACTCATCACTATTCGAGTGCTACAAGTCGTTTACCGTCTTTTACCGCTCGGACGACATAGGAACTGTTTGTTGTTTGTCAATCTCGCTTTACTGTTTAACGTTATTGAGCTATTCCGGAAGTGGAACTAACGGACATGACATACTGGATCGTTGGCCTAGCACGATCGGTCAGGTACACGAGCTTGTATTTTACTTAGGATGTCTTATGACATTCGGTGACACTACAATACCGATCGAAAATCATGACGGTTAGATCGGAAATTACCACCAGACGTTTGTTTGTTGCCTCTATAACAATAATTTATTTTTTATTCGTTATCCTTTTGTAGGCACTGTTCTTGGCTATATTATGCTGTCAGATTCAAATGATTTACTCAGCGTTCGAATCGGTCAACCTTATTAAATCACTTGGTGATCCTCATTCTTCTGCAATTGGTAAGTACGAGTTTACGACAGTTGGTTTTGGTTCAAATTTTGGTCGTATACTCGTACATCTGAAGTATATATGTCAGAAATAGGCCTTATAAATGTGATAATTTTTTGAATTCATTATAATTGTTTATAAAATTGACGACAAATAATATAATTATTATTTTTTTTTTATCATAATTTATTTATTTAAATGTTATATTATTTTTAACATTGGCAAAGAGTATTTTTCATTTTTTTTTTAAATTGACTTGGTACCTAAAAGGTAAAGCATATACATTTATGAATTTCTCTTAAAACTTGTTGAAAGTTTTACTACCGAATGTATTATAATTATAGTCAGTGTTTGCAGCTGGTTATTAAAAGATAGGCCATTGGTAGCCTTGGCAAAAGCATGATTATTTATGACCAAATATACATCAAATATGCATAATGCACTAACGTACCCGGTTTATACGCGATCAATATTTTCAAATTCTTAGGAATTACGTGTTAAGTTAAGAACTAGTTCTCTTTATTTAAATACAAATTAATACTGTATAATTATTTTAAAAGCTGCAGTTGCATTATATGAAAGGTTTAATAAATAATTTGTATACCTACTAACAGGGGTGTCATCTTAGTTTTTTTTATTGCTGGTGGCAACATTTCCACAGGTCATTAAAGTCGTCATTACCAAGCTAAAATCATGTTCCCCCTTTTTTTTGGGAAGGGGAGAGGAAATAACTCTTCTGTCTTTTTCTTCGTCTTCCCTGCCAACTGTATACCATATGGAGTTGGCCACCATTGAACTACAGCTCCACGATGCTCTGTCTCACTCCTCTCCTTTATTCACTCCAGATATTTGAATATCATTCTCTATTCTATCTAATCATCTTTTCTTCGGTCTTTCTCTCACTCTTTCAATATTCATTTCTGTAACCACCCTCCTTCCCTTACAACCTCTGAATCACCTCTCGTCATAATTATACATATCCGCTGGGTAGAATTTCAAGTACTGTAGAATACTTTTATATAATTTATATCAGATAAGTGTTACTTATTAATACATGAGTATGAAACTATAGCCATCATTGTTACTTTTTTTTTCTAATTACTTGTACTTTTAATGCATTTATTTTGTGATTACCAATTGTAATTTTAATATTTTACTCTTGGTAAATAAATATATGGGCATAAGCACCTTAATATTCAAACAGGCGATTAGCGCGCACACAATATAATATTATTCTAAGCGGCGATTTGCTCTCACAAATATAATATTATGCGGCTCTTCGGTTGACACCGCTTAGCTAACTGTTGATTTGGGCGGCCGCGTTCAAATTTCGAGTTCCAGACAGCCAGCCAAGGCCGATAACGCGTCACGAAAAATTTACATACCTAATATTATTATATACCTCACAGCTGAATGAGCTGACACGAACAACTGCACACAAATAAGACGATACAAATATAAACAAACATGAAGTATATTGTGCGTGTGTGTGACTGTGAGAGTGTGTGAGTGCGGCCGGTGGCATATATAGGCCACTGTCCTTAAATTGGTGTGGTGACGATTCCGAGGCCAATCAAAAATGTACCTATAACTGTCGTCCACATAGGTATAGCCATAAAATATCGAAGGGCGGAGGACCACGCGTGGAATATAATATTATAATTGACACTTAATTGCTTGACAACAATTATCATAAACATCATGCATATTGTATGTGTAACGTAAATGAATAATTCGATTGACGAGCATGAGCCACCTGCCCATATTATTATAATATTTATTATTTCGTACGGCGCCTACCTATATAAAAACAAACCTGTCGCCAACTTGTCCGTTTCATAAGCACGGCGGACATTTGTGCATACGCGTATATTCAGTGATTCGCTGTACCGCGATGGACATTCGGAACGAAAACAACCACGTTTTCAACATCGGGTTGGCGAAACTTTCAGGTTTATATCAAATGTTGGATCCCGGGACCGTAAAATTTCGGGGCCAAAACGTGTACCAAATTTTCGTCGGGTTCTTCGTGTTGTTCTCGTTCGTCGGAGCGATGACGTTGATCGCCGGCAGTTTGTACTATTGGACGGACAATACGTCTGTGACCATATGGTACTTTTGGTCGACGACAAACTCACTGTACGCGTGCTACAAGATGTGTACCGTCTTTTACCGCTCCAACGACATATGGAACTGTTTGTCGATCACGCGGTACGGTTTTACGTCGTTGAGCTCCCGGAAGCGGAACGGACATGACATCTTGGATCGTTGGCGAGCGCGTTCGGTCTGGTACACGAGCTTGTTATCCGGAGCGTATTGCTGGTCGTTGGTATTTTACGCGGGATGTCTCCTGGCATTCGGCGACGCTACAATACCGATAAAAAATCACGACGGTTCCATCGGAAATTACCGACCGAACGTATTAAATTTGTATTTTATCGCATCTGACGAGACTTACAACGAATACTACAATACGTTTTTCGTCGTCGAGACGTTGTTCGTTGCCTCCATAACAATAATTTACCTTCTATTCGATGTCCTATTGTTGACACTGTGCTTGGCTATATGCTGTCAGATGCAAATAATTTGCTCCGCTTTCGAATCGGTCAACCGCAAATCGCTTAGCGATTCTCATTCCAATGCAGTTGGTAAGTACGAGTTTACGTCCATTATTGTTTGTTTGATTTTGGTTTTACACTTTACATTTGTTCAAGGTACAAATTTTGGTCAAATTGTGTTCTATGATTAATTGAATAATGATTATAATATTATCATTAAATATACACATTAAAAAAAAAAATATATTTTAATATCTTCTAATTGTTTATCTTCCTTTATCATGCGTTTCTTTAATCCATTATAATATTAGTGGAATTTTTAGAGAAATATACGTATCTAGTACTATCTACGTACTCTCATTAATATAATTTGATCTAAATTAATATTATGTTATGAATTATGTAGAAATAAGTAAATAAATAACACACCATTATACTTACATAGAAACAAAAGTCTAAACCTTAAGTGACCATGTCGTATGATAGTATTATAACGTGTTGTAGACCGATTGAGTATCCTTAGTTTTTCTAAAAAAGTCATTGTAAGACGACTAAGTTGATCGTTCTAAGTTTCTAAGTTTCTAACTGCAGTCATGGTCATTGATATTTAGTAAACTATTACTATAACGAATTCAATTCTTTTATTAATTTTTAGATAACACCCATGAAAAACAAAATGTATCTAATGAACATGATTTAATATATTATGATGAATTAATAAAAATTATTATAGATCATCAAGCAGTTATTAAGTAAGTGTTAATTTTATTTTTGAATTTAATTATTTTATGATTTTATGACTGTACAACTGTAAAATTTAACTAAATTAACTTTAAATATGACTGAAAATATTTATTATAAAAGTTCATATAATATAAGTACCGAAGATGACAAAGGTATGAAATAAAATCTTTTTTAATATCCTTTTTAAATCCTTCATTTTTAATAATAATTATTATATAGTTGTACACCATAGGTTAGATACTTTTTTACTGGGATATATATTTTATTAGAGGCACACATAACTATAGGGCCTGATCGCTTTGCTTGCAATACTTTTTACAATCACATCATATCATTGTATAAACTAAACAATCAACTGTTAAAAAAATATAATTATTAAAATGATAATAATTTCTGTAATGCACTAGTCCTATTATAATGTACTTATCTATTAATCATTATCATGGTTGTTTATTTTTGTCATTGGAACAACGTACATATTTATTTATATTTACATTATATACATTATTTAGTTTTATTACAATAGTACATTTAATGGTGTATTCGACAAAATTGGTATATATTTATACGGGTATCAACGCTTAATATTCAGAAGCCTCTAATGGAGTGTACAAATATTAAAAATATGCATTAATATTGCACAGCCACCAGTCGGTACTTTATTACAATATTATAAAAATTAATTTTTAAATTACCATTTTATTTTTCGGGATTGGGACTCCTGAGAATAATACTGATGGGGATCTACCGAGAAAGTCCATATTTCCCTATGGGTTTTGAACCTATCGGTTAGTTGTTTGTGAAATCGATAATTATTTGATGACTTTTTATTACATTGAAAAAAAAATTAACAAACAATTAATATTTAGTAGATAGCAAGGTCTCTTAAAAAATGTATAGACCATCTTAAATATAATTTATCATAAAATTCAGTTTTTCCTATTTAATTTTGTTAAGATCATATTTTTTATTTTTTATTCTGATAGTCAATATACTCTTCTTACTCTTCAATTATAAAATCTAATTAATTTTATCTTTATTACAACATTGTATTACTTTATTTTATACTGATGACCGATATTTGGTACATTTTATTATTTTAGTTCTTATATATTTAATAATATTATTTTTCAGGAATTTTGTATTATTTTCAACTACATTTGAAAGAGTCATGTTGTCACACATTTTTGTTTCTTCGATTTCACTCATCATCATTTGGTTTAATTTAATAATGGTGAAAAAATATCGGAATACTTACAAATTTGATTACAATCGTTGTATACATTTAATTTTTAAATTATTAAGTACACAATAATAAATCATGTACTAGTACTGTACGATAAATGTAATGTAAATTTAATTATTACAATATTATGTTTCCCCTAAAATAGTTTCAGATAGTATTATATAAGTTTTATTTAGGTTATCGATATATATATATATTCACAAACGTGGTATTTTTTAATACAAGGAATAATTTTCTCTTCTAACATCTTTTCACAATATTCATCAAACAAACTACAATATTTATTATTACAAACTTAAAATAACCCATAAGCTACCCACCCACCTACCAAACATTTATAACAGACACAAGTACTATAAGTATTATATTAAACTACTATAATTATTATTAAGTACCTAATTGTTTTTCACTCTCATTATGAGCACCTACTAACACACTCCTAAATATTAAAAAAAAACGTAGGCGGCAGGTTTTAAAAAACTATAATAGGGTGCTTATAGGTATCATGGAAATAAATGCACAATTTGGGGGAGGGACCTTATTCCCTGATCGATACAATGTCCTCGTAAAATATGCATAGAATTGCCTTTTTAGGGGAGCTAGTAGGCTAGTTATAATTTAACCTCCTGCAATTTTAATTTTGACTCTCCAAATTGCGCTTATTGGTGTCATGATTTTACTACTTAATTAAAAACGTTTACATTTTCTTATACATCTAATTGGCATATATAAATATTGAATAATATAGGTATACCATGTCGTATACTGAAAATGCAATTTCATCATTGATTATGAAATATATTAATTATACAACAAAATAAATGTATATCAAATTGATAACATATTTATAAATCATAATAATAAAGTAAAATAAAAAAATTGAATACATTTCATTTGTTTGTTCACAAAAAAAATATGTTTTGAAGTATTTTAGTTGAATTTATAAATAAGGTAGCTATTAACTCAATATCTTTATTACGATGGGCATGCAATAAAGCAATATCGTCAAGAACATTTTGTGTCATTGTAGACCTTAAAAATGTTTTTAATCTTCGCAGTACTGAAAAATATAAAAAATATCTACCACGATGTAGGTTAGTGGTTATTAAAATCGTGGTGTCCTATATTTTTTTATTAATACCATTTATTTTCGTCTTAACAATTTTGAAATTTAAAATTTTTATCAAAACTAGAATTTTATTTCAATAGTCGTTTTTTTAAATTGTTGAAACTTGGATAGAAAAAATACATGTTATACATTCTCAATATGCAAATGGGTGCTCAGTACTCCATAATAATTTCAATGGGTTCCTGAGCTCCCGGACACCCATGTACATAGTGCCTATACTATTCACCAGACAAAATAAGTATAATAATACATTAAAAAAAGTGCCGTGTTCTTAGTATTAATTTGTAAACTAAGTTATGAAGTGATAATTTATAACTGGACTAAAATTATTTTAGAGTTTCTCCGATGATGGTAAATTTGAAATTTCTGGTGCTACGACAGTAAAAACGATTGTGGCGATTCCTTCATTCTCGTTTCAGATATTTATGACGTGTTACTTATTTGAAAATTTACATAACCAAGTAATTTGAAATGCATTTATTTTTTGTATTATATATTCATTCAATAAAAATGTAAGTACAACGAATAAAATCATTTTTGGTTTACATACTTTAAACTTTGTAAAGTATAAAATTCTGATAATTCTCATTTTCAAAAACAAGAACAATGCAAACAAGCAGTAGAAAAATGATCGGTTTCAACGAATTACAAAGACGCTTGCTTAACGGTTTATTATTAAATTTTTTTATATTTTAGAAAGATTCAATAATATTCGCACTGTACAGCAGTAATTGGACCGAAATGGATATGAAGTCTAAAAAATTGATATTAATAGCAATGCAATTGAATAATGCTAACCAGAAAAAGTTAAGGTTTACTAGAACAAGAATTGTTAACCTGGAAATGTTTTTTAAGGTACGTACTATTATAATAATAACTACTAAACTAAAATCATAAAATTATAGATAAATACAATTATGTAATTCTTTTTCTAAAACTATTGTTCCTAATATTTATATAGCAAAATAATTATTAATTTAACATTTAAGATATTAATAAAAAAATCGGGAATCCAGCTCTTCACCTATCCTAATAGATTTGTAGAGTACCTCGTAATTGACTAGATGACTCAATGCAATAGCGTGATAAGGCATTTGTATTGGGGAGGGGGGATAGACATTTTTTTTACCACATGCATATATTTTTATAGATGTCTTTAAGGATTTCTTTAATAATAAGAAATATTATATTTTAAACGTATTTAGTCGGGATGTCAGCACATAATCATACAAATTACAAATTAATAATTAAATATATATGTTATAAATGCTCTGCGGGCTCCCCCTTTTTCCATCACCCCTTAATTACTCCCCTGCTGAAACCTATACAATTATTTATAGTTAATATTCGAAAAAAATTGAAGTTGGTAATTATAATGTTAATTACTTATGAAAAATCTTCAATTGAATTTTGAAATTATAAAAATAAATTTTATCACTAATATTAACTAAATATTATAATTATTTAAAATTTAGGTATTATGCCTAAATACCTAATATTTTATTTGTTTTTGTTTTGTTAATTATAGACAATGGGTCATTGTTACACAGTTGTATCGGTTATGATACATTATATAAATGCAAAGAATGATTAAATTTTGTTTATTTTTAAAAAAAAATGTATTTTCTTTTTTGATTGATTTAATTAGAATTGTATTTAAGCTTATTCATTATACAATTTTATTAAACCAATAACTAGAACAATATGACTAATAATAATTGTTGAATCATCTTAATATAAAAATTGATGATGTAGATTTTAGGGTAAACTATCAAAATAAAATAGTTATTAGTACTTACTCATCTACATTGTATATTATTTTAGGTTCTGAGCTTAGGGATAAATATATACTATGTACAATGGTTTGTTTTTTTTTGTCATTAACATTTTCATATAGAAAATTTTTTTCCGAATTTTGTAAATGTTTTTCAAACAATAAAATTGCCGAAAAAAACTTTTTCACTTAGACAAAAGTTTGAAAACTTATTAATGTATCGGTCCTCGCAAGACACTTTAATAGCAGTTCACAAATATTGAAGATACATAGGCACGGTTATTTGTATAAATATTTAAAATTCACATGTTGATAGAAATCATAAATATAATTTGAGATAATTTTTATTTTTACTGTACTCAATGATTTATCTTAACCCATTAAAAGTAAGCAGAGGCCAGAGGGGTACCCACTTGGCCATTTTTTTAAAAATAATACTGTCAACCATCTATCGTAGTTTTATTTTATATGATTAACGGATGGAATTCTAAACGTCTAAAAAAAGGAAATTAAGAAATAAGAACTCCATCAAGAGAGAATAAAATAAAATTGTATATGTGAAAATTCATTTTCATTAAAATGTTGACCTATATGTAAGATCTCAATGAGCAAAGTAGCTAGTTATTTAAAACTTTTGAGAGAGTTGTACAATCACTAATGAGTAATGTAGTAATGGATGATAATACATTTAAGAAAGTAGCATGTTGATATTGTTTTGCAAGGAAAACTGAGTTACCGTATGAATGTTTTGGGGTATTGCAGTGCAGTGCATAAATATCAAGTATCACTCTAAATATAGGTACCTTTGTTATATCTATTATTAAAATATTATAAAAGTAGAAAACGAAAAATAAAATAACGTAAATGTATTTTTTTTAACTATGGTGAATTCTTTATAGTCTCCTATTTCTCGATTAGTTACTTAACTATTTCTATCGACTATTTATTTGCCATTAAAGTATACTACGTGTAGATACATCGTTAAATGATCATTCACAAATTAAATATTTTCATAACACAACAATATTTGGAATAAAATAACATAACAAAGTTTATTATACTAAAAATAATTACAAAAATAAATTATTCGCTTTGGCCAGCAGTTTGGGGTTATCGATTCAATAACGCGTACACACATCGTTTAAACAAAATAACAATTATACATTATAAGATAATAATATACGAAACAGGCGGAATACCTATATTAAAAATACTATACGTGTTATAATGCCTGATTTGATTATGATTATGTAAAAACTAGAAATCAAAAATATTAATAATTATAATAATTATACTAATAATAATAATATAATAATTAGAACCGTACGAGTTGAACGTATTGTCTGGTTTTAACGTAATAATATATCACTTAATGACTGGCACTATCTTTCATCTTTGGTACATGTCGATGGGCCCAAAATCACGAGTAGATAGTCATCAAGATCAACTGCAACGACAGTAAATAATATAATATAATATAATATAATAAATACAACAAAATGATATTTTCTGATCAAAATAATTTACCTCTTCTAACGACAATGGGTTTCCCTTGCTCATTTTCGTGTCCAAACTGTGATACCGTTCTGGACATAAAAGAAAACATCAACAATTAAATCAGCTTATACTCATCACAAGTTATCCATCATCTTACCATGAGCCAAGTGCAGTCGAACCATAGCCATGATGAAACACTCCGAAGTCAGGATCCGGCTCTTGGCGAATCTCAGTACCAGACATTCAAGCACTTTGTTGCTGACAGTGCTACCAGCTTCCCAAAGCAGAGGTCTGAGGTTGTAACTGGACGTCTTTGTGGGGTTCACGCCTTTTTCGAACTTTTGGAATGCTATCTGTGGGTAAAAACAGACAAACAAAAAAGCGGATTTTAGTGAGTTTGTGTCCAACACATTATACACCTAACAGATGCAACAGGAAGTTTTTTCATTTCACCAGCCATTCTTAAGGAGTTGAGTATAGGCAATTTAAAAGACATACAAATATATTTAATCTTATTTAACAAAATCTTTACAGGTGATAATTTGTAGTTAGCGTTGTTTTTTCTTGTATGATTACGAAATTATAAAAATAATTTATAAAAAATACTCCATATTGATGCAGATCAGTGGTTATTCTCGTACTATATTTCTAGTGATATTTTACAGTAAGCCACTTTTCATAAGATCAAAAGAGGATAACATCGGATCCATATAACATTTTCTATTTATTCTAAGCCTTTAAGTACAAAAAAATCGTTTTTTAAAAAGAAGTTTATATTATTCACTATTTTGTACAACGGGAATGTTTTTGTTTCAAACAATAATCGTGTTACTTGTTTTTATAACCACTAAACAACAAGTTTCGATGTTCTCCGACAGTGTGTTTTTATACTAAAAATGCAGTAGACATAATAAATAAATATATCAGTTTAATTGCTTCTTTACCTTCCAGAACTGCAACATGTGCATTAGCACAGGTATGTCTAACACGTTGATACGACCACTAATGTTGACGTCCCTCAACATTATCAGGCTCTTGCAGAGCTCCAGACTGGGTTTTTCCGCCAAATACGCCTTCCAATGTGTCCGCAGTATTTTTTGCAACTGGATCACGTCCAGTTCCGGTGGATATTTGACCATGAGCTTAGTTAAGAGTGGCTTTCCGTCCGGCTGTAAAATCATACCAATGCGTTTTCAGTATAACTTATATCGTTTTTCGTTTTGCGTTACTCTCCATAACCATAGCCAGGTGGATATTTGGTTGAATTTGAGGAGGGGAGCTTACTATTTTTTTTATAGTCAAATTAGTTTGTGCAATCCTATCAATGTTTTACATAATTTTGTTTCCTCGATCATATAGAACCTATGTACACATTCAAAGGCTAGGAACAGATTAACGGAGGAAGATTCGGCAGCATGCATTACCTTGCAATCAACATAATATCAACCAGACTTAAAAAAGCTTTCAACCAATATGAAGCAAAACATTTCTAAGAAAGAATAATTTAAATTTAATATTTTTTTTACATTATTTCCATTTTTAGTAATTTTCTACGTTATAGTCATTAATTTATCATTTATATTTTCATTTGTATTTTTCTGTATTAATAAAAATAATTATTGATCGGCTGAAAATTTGTTTTTGAATTATGTCATGAATTGGCACGTTGAAAAAAACCTATTTGCCATCCTTGATGTAGATATTATATCACTATTGTGTAATAAGAATAAGTCATTGCTATTTATAATGCATATTCCCATACAGATAAAATAGGTGAATAAAATTATTATAATATTCGTGAAATATGTGAAATGTAAATTGTTTTGGCTAATTCTGAAGAGGCGAAGCCAATGTCATGTAGTTTAACGATACTCACTAATATCACAGTGTCTTCCAGAAACTCGGCCGAGATATTTTTGAACACCATGTTGTCGTCGTTCACCTCCCTACGAGTTTGTTGACGTATAACATTATGTCGGAAAGTGAAATTTATAATGATAACAATAAAATGATTTTACCATATGTTACTCTGTTCGTCCGTCAATATTCGCAGTAAAAATTTGGCGTCGCAGTTGGGCACGTTCGTTTGCGGGACGACAATGTAATCGCCAGGAGGTAACGTGAAGAACGTCACCACTTCTCTCGCCACGGAATGGTTGGTCACATCCAGCGGTTGCTAAAACGGAAAACCAGTTAGGTACAGCCGAATTGAATTTACAGTACAAGCAGCATATAGGCACTTAAATAAAACGCAAATACCACGGTACGATAACTTTTCGGAAAATAACGCAAATTTACCATAAAATTAATAAGTGTAGTACATCTATAATACCCAGTACCCACGCATAATATATAAGCCGTTCGTATCGAGGAACAGTGAAAAATGCATTTGTTTCGGTGTGATTATGTACGCACACAGACAGTATAACATCATTACATGTATAGGTAGTATAATTATAGTACCTACACGTCATTATAAACCTATTAATGCAGTTTATATTATGTTTTTTGATAAATATATTATACGGATGAGCGCTATAAATTATAATAATAATTGTATCATGAAAAACCACAACAAACATCTCTGGCTGTAGTGATGGACTTGTGTGTAGACCTAAAAGTAAACAGGATAACTGCAGTATATTTTTCGATATCGAACCGCACGGTTATTAAAACGTTACTATTGTCCACGGAAATGTCGTGTAGGTAGGCAACCTGCTGCAGCAACTGCATTATACAAATATACAATATAGTATACCTACATAATAATATAGTTAGTTACGTCGACTGTCATTGTTGTGGTGTTACATGAATCGTTGCTCGTCGGCTGAATAATAATTGGCCCATTAAATGTATTATCATTATTATTTTGCCCGGGGGAAAAAAAAACAGTAAAAAACCATTATTATCGGTGCGTTTGTTTGACTACACTCCATCATTCAATCAATCACCTCTGTACACAATTTCCTGCGAATCGAATTAGGTAAATTAGACTGTTTACCTGTTGTGCCACGAACTGCGGCGTCAGCCTGGACGTGGAATGAGGCACTTCGTAGACCGCAAAACCAATGGCGAACAGAGGCCTTGCCCCTTTGGCTTCCGGATCGGTTTCGTATTGCTGAACGACGGACACGACCACGTGACACTTGTTGCCCGAAGTCCTGGGTATGCCGATGTGGAACTGGGGATTCATGGCCGTCGTTTCCGGATGTCCAGGACCACCGCCCGCATTATATCCGCTCCTCCACCGTCTTCTTGCCAGCACTGCCCGCCACGGCTGCTTCGAATGCAACGCCGGTTCGGTCATCCAGTCGTCCGGGCTGATGTGCACGATGTCCAGCTGCGTGAAATGCCTGGCGAAATCCTCGAAAGACATCCTGCAAAATAGTAAACCAGAAACCCGTTAACCAAGAGTTGCGCCCAATGTCTTAACAGCTGGCCCGTACACGTACGGCTGTTTAGTATATAGGCACAACAAATGCACAACAGCGTGAAAATATATACCAAATACCAAGGCAGTAATTGAACAAAAATACCAGGGGTCCAACGTTTTCTTTTATATGAATACTGGACACTTATCTTGTTTACGTTCAAAATTTAAAAACTCTTGTTCAACTTTTAGACATTTCAAGAGGGGGGGGGGGAGTATTTGAATTCCTTATTCTTTTTTTTAGGTTATATAAGGAATGGATTTCTGATTTCTTGTGTAACACTGAAGTAAAGGTGAATTTTGATAAAAAAAAATTAAATTGGACTATACTAATTATTCAACAATACAAAAATCGAAAATTCATTTCCTAAATAACCCAGACAAGAAAATAAGGAATTCAAATATGTTTTCAAAATTAAAACCGGGCTTTTAGTATTGGGTGAATTTTTTTAAACTTTTTGGGACTTAAGTTTTGAAACTGTTTTGATCGCAAAATATAGTGACGTATGACTACCGGTATGCATGTTATTGATTTCCAAGAATCTTAGACGTAGTTTATCTTTAATTACATAAAGAGTTCGGGGAACTCACGCACACCAATGATCAGTCATTACACACAGTCCCCCATCACTTACGAAAGATATAGATTATTGCCTATATCCGGCCCCTTAAAAATTGGTCGCTTTCAACAGCCTCAACCAACAATATTATGAGTTGTTCTTAAACTTTTCATGAATTACGTTTTAATAAATATAAGAAAATTCATTGAAATAAATTAATAAACTTTAAACATTGATTGAGAATGTATAAAAAAAAATTGATACCTTGTATCAATGTTACATTTACGGTACAGTGTCAATATTATTTTTCATATTTTTACGTATTATGATCATTATATGCTACTTTAGTCAATACATGCAAATTAAAAAAAGGGAAGCAGATAACAGCTATGTTAAGCAGTAGGTGTTGGGTGTACATCTTCATTGAGTGAGGTCAATGTAATGTATATTATGTGTTAAATTTTAAATTTATTCTTTGCTTCAATATTATCTGGCCTCATATTTTTATATTATATTTATTGTATGTATTAAACACAGGGGCTGTGAATTTAATGATTTTGAATATCATTGAATATCATTATGAACTCAAAATAAGTGAGATTCATATTGGATTCAAGATATATTAGTTATTACCAAACAAAATACAATTTTATTTTGCATATTTTTGCATATTTGTTTAGATGTTACTGCATTTAAATATAATATGTATTATACAAGTGTTTATTTTTTGTTTTCGGAGAAAATATAAATTTATTTGGATATAAAAAAATAATTTACATAAATTCTTTCAAAAAATTGTGTTTTTTAATGTAAACCGTTAAGGTTTATCTTCATACATGACAAAAAACGATTGACATTTATAAACACAATAAAAATGGGAATCGATAAACGAAAGAAAATAAAATACCATACGGCATTACCAACTAAATATAATTGTTAAATTTTTAATATTATCGGTAATTGTATGTGTGGTAAATAGAAATTGAACATAACATTTTGACCCTCGTGTCTCTCGTCATAATATGACGCCTATGTGCAGTAGACGGCTATTAAAAGGACGTTATACCTGTTTTACTTTATTATTTTTAATATTAGAATGAATTGACCTATTATAAAATATAAAAGCAAGAATATTGATTAGGGCACTTTTGTAAAGTATTTTTTGATATTTTAATTTTGAAATTAGCTATGAGCATTTACAAACAATTTACAACTTAAATGCTCATAACTTGGCTTAAAATCAAAGTATAAAAAAAAACATTCAAGGCCACTATCTAAATAATAATCCTGCCTTTAATAATAGTTAAATTATTCACTCAAATATCAAAAATAACAAAGTAAAACGAATTCTTTTCAATGTAAAATTTGCTATGTTATAGGTAAGTTAGTAAAACGGAGACGAAATTTTTGGGTATAACGTCTGTAAAAAATTGTATGTCTGTAGGTAAAAAATTCAAAAGATTTTAATTCTAAAAAAACGATAAACTCAAAAGTTGTAGAACTCGTTTTAATTTTATATAACGTGAAATTATTAATTTCTTTTCAAATAAAAACGCTGTATTCTTGGCATGTTTGTGAAATAAATATAGTCCTGTGAATCACTAAACAAAATATATTTTTTCGATAAACGCATAACAAAAAACAACGCATTTCAATTTTCAAAGGAAATATTTTCAATTTTCTACCTAGAAAATACTCTTATTTCACGCAACATACGCACCTCGTCTTCACTCAGATGGCCGATAGCTTACATGTACCCTTTTTTGCTTTAACGCCATAAATACTCACCAAAATTCGCCGTCGTTCCGCACCCGGACGCTGAGCAGCTCCTTGTCTCTGCCTGACAGGCCGTCCCATTCCCAACTCCTCTCGCTCCAAGGACCGGTCCACTCACCTTCGCCCCAAGGATTTCTCAGCCTCACCAGCGGGGTGTCGCCCAACGGACCCCGGACTCGTGCCAAACCCGTGACGCTGTACGCGTGATGTGTCATTAGACCGTTCCGCAGTCTCAGTTGTCTTTTGTTCTCCTTCTGCAACACATAATGGGTCATGGACGTCGTAACGAATTCAGATGTCGGCAGAACGCAAAAGCCGCGTATAGTTTTCCGTCACTCGCGTTGTATTACACTTACCAGGGTTATGGTGGATATGAGCAATGACGACCTAGGCACGGCGCTGTTGAGCACTTGATACGTTAGGAACCGATCTTGGTTGGAAAGGCCGAAACTCTGGACGATTCCGCCGGTCAGGTCCTGCAGTGCTCTAGTAGTCGAGCATCCAGCTCCGCTGATGTTTTCGTAGCAGCCGTACAATCTAATCGTTTATAATGTATGTTATGAAAAAAACTTATTTAGGCGATTTTAGTTTCGTGGGGAAAATAGAATAGTTCACCCAAAGGGGAGGCCTGAAACCCCATAAGAACCCCTCCCCCACCCACCCACTTTAATGCGCCAGTGCACCACTGTCGAGACGTGTAAAACTTGACATCCTCTACTTATACCCAGTAGTCAGTTGTATGTTACAATATAATATATTATTTCACTTACTTTGCGTATGCTTTTTCCAACAACGCAGCCCAGAATTCGGTAGGATTGGTGGAACGCATGTAAACCAATCGTCCCCTGTACGTGGGCAGCTTGTCGTCAACCAACACTTCTTTCCATTCACCGAAATACCAAAACCGAAACCTGTAGTTAGACAGAGAAAAAGTTCGTTACAAATTTACAAGCACGTGTGGAGTAGTAAATAATTTAATATTTCTGTAACACGGTGTCTAGCATTGGCGTAGTAGTTGTCAAAAAATACATTTTTCATTATTAAGTGGTCACGTCATTATTATATTGTAAGTGTTTATATCTTAAATACGCGTTTTTCAAGAAATATTTTTGTAAATAGGTACATGGTTAGACAAATGTTTTTAATAAAGTCATATAACATTTCTGTTGACGTCCAAGATAACTTTAAAGCGAGTGTTTTCGCGTAACTTATTGAACGAAAAAATTCTAAAAGGTTTAATACTTTAATATAATACATTAATACAGCACACGATTTCAAAAATATCTTAACGGTGAAAAATAATTAATGCAATAATTATAATGTGTTCACTTTTGTTTAAGACTGAATAAGAAACATTTTCCTTGGCTTTACGAGCGTGGGTTTTATTATACTATGCGTATTATTATAGGACTATTATAATAGATAAATGCATATTGTGTAGCGTCTTCTTAAAAGAAACGGTGTCGGCAATCAAGGTAATAATTATTAATAATCACTATTATTGTCCAACGAAAGTGCATTGGTTTTGTATATATTTTGGTGCGTTTTACCAATTACCAATTATCAATTAATAATGATAATACAATATTAATATAATGTCCATAACAAAACGGTACATCATACGTACCGATAACATATAGTATTAAATCATTGAATATTATTATTGTATTGTATTACAGTATTACACAAGCTCGCATGAAGACTAATTTAGACCCCGAACGTAATTTTTTTATTAGGCCTTATTAGTACACATTATTGTAAAACATGGATCATATTTATTAATATATTATATGAATTACTAAAAGAAAATACAATGAAAATATAATCATTTTTATAGTTATAATAATTAATAAGTGATAAATACAGATTACATTATAGTTGATATATGACATAGACTATTACTGACTATTGAGCAGCTGTTTGTTAGAGACACCAAAATTGTGTATTATGCTACCAAATTATATTATGTAGTAACAGTGTAATTCAGATTGCAGCTAATAATATTTTGTGTAATAAATAACATATTTACTAAAGAGAAACTTTTTGCTGTATAAATTATACATTTTCAAATTCAACAATAATAAAAAATTAAAACGAACTATTATATTTATTGTGTGCCCTGGACGGGAGGAGCTGGTCTCCTGAATCATTGTCTGATATTACAGAATAATTATATAAATGCGTGATGTTTAAAATACAAACATTCTGTGTACGAAAAGTCAAACAACGTTACGATATATTTGTTTATAAATTTATAATGTTACAAAGTCATGAATGTCGGCAATATTTTTTTGGAAATTGTTTTCTGTGGAATTCATAATTGACATTTCCGAGCATTTTTATCCAACCCAATCATAATTTACTACACTGAACTCTTATATTATCTCACCTATATTCGCTATAAATTGGATTTCGTTCACAACAAACCTATACACATTATTACCCAGGCCAGTCACCGTATTCACTAAACTGCACACACCCTTATAATCATTACAAAAAACCCTTATAGGCTGTCGGTCGCCAGTTGAACAATTATTTTACAACATACATGATAAAAATACATTAAAACAACTATAACTCAACAATGGGTGCCCAGGATTGTGTCCTAAACGGCCGTCGACCGCTTAAGTGCGGCGCCAATAAATCCGGGAAAGGTATGTTCAGGCGAATGGCCCAGCCCAGAACCTATATATTATAGTACTTTATTGCGAAATTCTAAAAGTCATAGGAGAAGAGGGCGAGATCCAAGTCTTGTCTTAAAAAAATATGATCAGGCATGTCACCGTGCCTGTGATCTTTCGATAGATTTCGACGACACTTGAAGAGGTCGACTTACGCGAATTACATTATAAACAGGACCCTGTTCAGTGCTCGTTCAGACCTGACCCGTTTGACAACATATTGTTCGTATAAACGCTACAAACGAAGAGAGTTTATTTATTTGGTTTTGTCGTCTTCATTCGATTTCACTCTGTTTTTTTTTTCTATTTCCAACGAGCTGGGATTAAAAATATAAGGAGTTAAGACGGATTCAACTAAAGTCTAAAATACTCTTGTTTCTTTATCGCGAGTCCCCAACACACATTCCACGAAGCCAGTAAAACGAGTGGTTGGCGCCGCTTATGTAGCTAGGTAGATGTACCGTTCCTCCACAGTGCGATGTGGTTACGAGACGAGACAAGACGTGACTAGGAAAGAACACCGACGTTTTCCGTTAGACAACAAAATTCATCCTAGCTAATAATTATTATTTATGTTATTACCGGGGCGCTTGAGTTATCGTCATTATTATTATTATCATTATTATTTTAATTGAAAAACCCCTCGAAAAAAAGATACGAAAGTAAGTATTATAACCCGGACGATGTCGTCGGGAACAAGGTTTATGGTCGTAAAAAAGTGGTTTAAATGATGTATAAATACAATAATAATCTCTGGACGGTCGGAGGGTGGGAGGATGAGGATTGCCGGGTTTGGTCGACGACGGTGTCTATATATTATACACATTATGTAGCAGGTATTTATTATTGTTATTATTATTATTATCATCATTAAAGCAACCGTCGGATTGAACCAGTACCGGTCGAGCATCGCGGCGGGGTGGTTTTGGAGTGTTTGATTGTATTTTTATTGGGCGCGGGCAATTTCATCTAGAGAACCACCTCTTATGACGACAGGTGCCGAGAGTTGTGGCGATTCTTTTATTTTAACTTTATTTTTAGACATCTTATTCAAATAAAAATTAAATAATTAAATAAATTAAATTAGTGCTTGGTTTTAAAAATGGATTTAGATTATCCCAAGTAGATTACTCTTGTCTAAATGAAATCTAAATGTTGATAATATATTTAAAATTGTAATTTGTAATTTATAAATTCTAATTTGAAAAAAATAACTAACAGCCCTTTATCCCTCAAATAGACACTTAAAGCGAATACTCTCTCGGTACGCCTCTGATGCGTCGAGAAACTTGAGTTGTTTTTTGGTTACCGTGCCGTTGTTAATACCATTTCAGCTACATTATTAGTTTAATTTAACAAGTATTACCTACTGTTTTGATAATGTCTCGTGTTAATGAACAATTATTGGTTTTTTTTGGAATATGATTTGCAGGTTCGATGAATAAACATAACGAAATTATTGATTTAAAAGAAACATTTGTATTTGGGCAAGGGGCACGTAAGTGTAATATATAATAGAAATTCAATGAGTTTCAAGCGGGACTTCTCTAAAAAAGAAATAGAACCACTGCAGGGGATGGTATACCAGATACCTAATTATAGAGATACAGCTTATCTGGAAAAAAGTATTTGAAAAGTTCTAGCCTAGAAAACTGTAGCATTACACTTTGAAATGACGTATAAGAACATTAAATTTTGTCTGAAAATCTACATATTTTGAGATTTCTAGTTCTTCGAACACAGTGATTCATCATAGTTCTCGAATAAATCATACGAAGGGTCGCAGACAACCAAAAGTTGTGAGGTGGGTACCTCACAACTCCAGTGTCAGCATTTTATTTTATGTGTTACTCAATTGAAATGATCACAATGAATATAAAAGAAGAGCTCGTCCGGAGAGAATGTACGTGTTAATGCCGTGGGTTCGATAATAACTTATTTAAGTGAATCCGTAATAATAATAGGTCGCGAAACGAGTGTTGGGAGTGCATATCATAATATTATGGTGCTGAGAATGGAATTATTGACTGATGTTGTAGTCGCGTGTTTATTTTACGACCTTGGCCGTGACCTTGTGGGACAGGATCACCCTACGGCCATTTACCGTCTTTGTCGTCGTTCCGAAATCTCGCCAAACGGGATAGATTTATTTACGTTTGCGTATTCACTATTCACGGACAATTAATGTATTATAAAACTTAAAAATAAGAACATTTTAAGTAAAAAATTTTTATTTTTAACACTTATATTGTATACAGAGGCTTAACAAACGTTTTACAAGCGTTTAGTTTTAAACGTTTTTTAGCGTATTTAGTTCACGTATTAGTTTGATATTATAGTTATTAAAAACGAAATTGCAATAAAACTAGTGTACATTACGAAATCCGTGCTGGTATGGTAATTTAGTAGACAATAGTTTTAAAGTAGGTAGATCTATGTAATTCCAGAATAGGTACGTAATGTTTTGTTTTTGTTTCCATACAATTATGTCGACGTCGAACACAAATCAACAATATCGCACGGTCGATTGTTACTATAATAATATAGTATAAAATAATTTTCATAAATTGCGCATTAAAATATTTGTTGCATAGTATATTGAATGCAATTGAATTCTCTGAAATATCAAGAGGAATAAAAAAATTATTTGATAGTTAGTGATTTTCTCAACGATAGATTTATCTAGTTTAAAAAATTTTGCTCTCTCATTGTGAAAAAATTACACCTAACCTAACTGAAGAATAAGTATTAAAAATATCTTAGGTAATATCGTCATTTCGCTTTAAATTATACAATCCCTTGGGAAAAAAGTATCTTTTGTTTAAAATTCTATGTAAGTGCAGCACATAAATAAACATAATAGGAAACGAAAATCGAAACCGTTAAAACGATGTAATCGATTGTTCAATATATGGATGGATGCAAAGATTTTTGTGTGAGCCTCGACGAAGTCTTTGTATCGGGTGAGAAGGGTGGTTCTTTCTTAAAGAATTCATTTTAAAATTGATTTTTTCATACTTCCACAAGTCACAACACTTGTACAATATAGGTTGGATATATTATTATAGCGGATAAAACCGTATAGAGCTTGTTAGTTGTTGAGAACTAATTTTTTTTGAAAGACGGTTTTTTTTAAAAATTGTTTTGATTAAATATTCTTGTTTTGCATTTTATTAAAAATTAAAATTAAAGTATATGGTTGAATGAACCACATACATTTGCGGTAGTTG